CAGGTGAAAAGAAGGAGGTTTATTCAACTGCATAAATGATTGTAGATGACTGTATGGGTTCTCTTAGCAGAACATGAAGAAAATACATATATCAGTTCTCAAGTGACATTCCCTGAGGCAGGGGTCAGCAACCTACAGTCTGCTGATGGATCAGGCCTATGAAGAGACTAGACCTGACCCACAGCAGCTCAGGAAATTGGCAGTCCAGGCTAGTGAAGCACCAGAGCCTGCTGTGGTCATTTTATTCTCTCTGCTGCAGCAGAGGTGGCGCCCCAGGGTCCTCACATGTGCCTTTTCCTTGTCTACACCAACTGCAGGTGCTTCTGCAGCCTGACGAAGAGTATTTATATCCAAAAGCTTGCTAAGAATTTTTCCAACTATCTGATTTGGTCTAATAAAAGATATTGGGTTTACCCAAAGAACCTCATCTGTCTTTTCCCTGTCTAGTCTTTTAACAGCATCTGGTGATTTCCAGGGTGCTGCAGGTGTGGGAGCAGGGCCTCGGTTGCAAACACCAGCTCACAGTGGCAAACAATGAGCCAAACCCTGCCCTAAGGAGTCGATATTTCATAGTCATAATAGAAGTATGGATATCATTAGTATGTGGTTTCCCATCTGTACAGACCTGGCAGATGGTACTTGAGAACAACTCAAATAGGGCTGAATTCTAAGTCTCCAGCTACTTTTTCACTTGCCTTTTAGGCAGAAGCTTCCACTGATGGCAGAGTAAACCCCAAATTAAAACTGGGTAAAAGGTTCAGGAGTTAGCAAAAACACTTTCCATTTATTTCAATTTTTTGGACAAAGGGTGCCAGGTAAGTGTAGCGCATTGGTATTAGACTATATATTTACTGGCTTTGAGATAATGGATAAAATGTTTCCTCCTCATTTACTATGCAGTAGAATGGTAAAGCTGTTTTAACATATTTATTATACCTATGAACCTACACTCTTCATAAACTCAAGGGTTTGAATGAGAGCAGGCTGTACTGTTCAAAATAATTTAATTATGTTGTTCTTTTTCCTAATTTTTTCTGTTCACTGTTAGTCACATAATATTATTTATTTTCCAGCTGGCTGAGGGTGCTTTTAATAGGAAGTGGGAGAACATAATTAAGTTACCAAATTTTTATTTTCTCAAGGGATGAAAGCAGCTTATGGAGTTAGACTGAGCAAAGCTGGCAGGATATAGAAATTTTTAGGGTGTTCAAACCCTTTCATCAAGACACTAGACCTGGACAGGAGTTTTGCTTTAAAGTGATTTCTTTTTGTTAGTCACGTATTTTTCCTATGATGCATGTGCACAGTCCCAGAGACTGCAGCTTGATCCTAGTCTGGTTTATTTAAATGACTGCTTTCTGAACACAATGGTAGAATCAGGCGTTCTTTATGCTGAATCCTTGTTCTTGTTTTTTGCCCTCTTGGTGCTACTCTTACTGACAGAGAATCAGGATGCTTCCTATACTCAGAGAAGAATTATTAGACTTTGTTCCTTGGATAATTATTTTCAATTCAGATATTTGTTAATACCTTTTTTTCTTGTATAAAATAGTTTACAGACCCTCTGGAAAGCCAGGCACTAGCTTCCCCCTTTTCCCACCTCCTGCATGCCTTAGAAAAGCCTCTTCTGTAGACAAACTTGGTAGACTTTAAAATGACAGTTCTTGCATGTAAAGGATAAAATACTGAAGCAACCAAAACAAGGTTGCAGATTAACTGATCTGGTTCTCTTCACCATATATGAATGATTTCCTTCTTCTGGAAAGTGGGTTTTTTCTGTTCATTTTTACCTCTTCCTTCTCCTGTAGTAACATGCAGGCATAAAGAATTCAGGCCTTGGCGGTCAAGTTGGCAAAGGTGTCCAAAGCCAGAGTCAAATGTTGGTTTTCTAGAAAATCTGCAGGAGCCTGAGACAGACCTTTAAAACAGGGACAAATAGCAAGCAGCAGCACTGTAGCTGGTCCTTGGGCAGTTTGGGGAGAATGCAATTCAGAAGGCTCAAGGGGGAAAAATAGGAGACATGGACCTCTACACCATCAGGAGGGATGCTGTGTGCATCAGTCTGTTCTGTGCATGGATTCATTTACTATCAGGGTTGCAAAATGGCATGAATGCCAGCTGGATACAGAGATTTGATACAGGTTTGGATACAGAGTTGCTGTAGACAAGTGATTACAAGAGAATTTTCACTTCCTTTTATTTTATCAAATTTTCTAGCTGTCAAAGAAAACTAAAAATAGCCTGAGAATTAGGCTCATAAAATCTAAGAAAAATATAAATAATCCAAAATATATTAGTTTTTAAAATCTTATAATTTTTAAACTATCTTGTGATATGGAGAGCATATGTTAAACATGATATCACTGCATCACTCTATTGTGTGCCTCTGGCTGAAGATGTCTTATTCCAGGGGTCAGCAACCCCCAATATGTGTGGTAGAGCATAGCGCATGAAGGTATTTTGCTTGGCACATGCATCTTGGAGTGGAAGGTGAGGGAGCCATGAGAAGCCCTATTTTTGTTGTGGTAGTACAGCCCCAGCCCTTTCCCTGCCAGTGGCCCCAAGGCTTGTGTGCACCCGCTGCCAGCAATGATCTGGGCTGGAGCTCTGTGGACCCTGGTGCTTGCAACCTCCCCACCACCTGCTGCAAGCAGCCTGGCTCCATGGAGGGCAGCACAGGCCTGCCAGTAGCCTGGGCTGGCTGTGGCAGGCAGTCAGGAGTCTACCAACAGCCACACCTGGGTCCACGGAGCCCCTCCCCAGCTTATTGCTGGCAGCGGGTGCACGTGCATCTCAGGGCAGATGGTGGGGAAGAGGCTGGGACTGTGTGCTGCCTTAACAAGAATCAGGCCACTTGTGGTTCCTCTGCCATGCACACTTGGCATGCCAACTTCTTAGAAGTTGAGGTTCCAGGTGATTTTGGCAGTCTGCCCAAAAATGTGGCCGACCCTTGCCCTAATCTGATGTGTCTTTAGGCAGACATTTGGCTTGATTGCCCTGGCTAATATATTGCCCATACCAATCACTTGCCTTTTTGTTTTGCATAAAGATCTGTGCTCCTTTAACTAGGATGTGGAGTCTGTTTAGCTGTCTATTACCTGCTTTAGAGTGCTTACAGAAGTTACAGAAAGGCACTTCAATCACACTGCAACTTTTTGCATAAAAGAGCCAACCAGGATTCATTCTCTTGTGTGGGGGAACAGTGTGAGAGTAGCTCGGAGATTGTGGCCCTTCCCTGCTGGTGCAGGGGGGCACTAGGGACCCTCTCTTGTGGGGGGGCATTCTACTCAGGGCACCCCCACCACCAATCTCTGGCCAGCTGCTTCTCCTACCTCACCTGCCAACTGGCTGCACTAGAAGAAGACTCTCTGCCTCCTCCCTGTGGCAGACCAGGATCACAACATGTAACCCTCCCAGGGAACTGTATAAAGGTTCCCTAAGATGCCCTAATTTAGAGCACCTTCATTTACTACCTGATTTAACAAGGATTACTTTTTCACAGAATCGGCCATTTTAAAAGCACTCTGAACGTGTGTTATGACATGGCTGTAGAGTGTTTTAGGGGCCAGATTGCACAAAAACGTAACTTCTGTCTGTACCCTTATTCTATCCATGTCCTTATCAACAGTAGTATCTGAGCACCTGCAGTACATTAAAAAACTTAACTGACATGTCAAACGTCTCATTTGCTCCCCCATTCTCTCCCAAAAGAAGATGTATGTTTGAATTTTGCATGGAATAAATACAGCTATGTTGTTATGGAGGGAGATTTTCATAATAAGACAATCAATTCTTATATCAGTCACAGGACAACTATCATGTCATATATTTGTCCACAGCTTTTACTTTAAAAGCAATGAAAACTAGTATGTGGTCAGATTTGCTTAAAGTACATGTGGATATATTTGTAATGTCTTTAAACGTATTTCCATGTTTTGAAAAAAATAGAGAGTATTTCTAAAGCATCATTGGTTACTGCCTTAATTTCACTAATATGTTCCTGTTCTGTATCACAAGAGGTACTAACCACAATGTCTGATTAAAATTGGCCAACAATTTTTATGATAAGATCCTATGTTCAGTTGCATAAAAAGTTAATCACACTTTAACCTTTCTGAATTTATTTTCAGTATCCGGTGTTTGATTTCTTATTGCACAATTTGAACAACAGTGGTTCATCCATATTCAGAACATGATAATGTGATTTTTTTTTAATGTAGAAGCTCTAGTTCCCCTAGATTTGGATCAGAAATTTGAAGTTTGGCAGGCATTGCCTGGAGGACAGGGGTAAGGCTTCTGCAATCTCCATAAATATCTTCTCCAATTAAATCCTGAGCTCCTGAAAAACTACAGTTCATAAGCTCAGTAACTGTAGAGTTCAGCAGCTAAATTCTCTAAATTTGTTTGTGCTTATAATCATTGCAGAGCAGATGTCTAAAATAGAGAGCACTTTAGGCATTAACTACCACACTGAATTAAGAGCACAGAAAAAAAAGGAAAGAGAAACATAGGATATAACTTTATAGTAAATTTACCATCCCTGTTGGTGCTGCCTTCAAGCATGCTCTGCTTCTGAAGGTGGACTGTTAGTTAAACAGAAAGCAGTGTGTTTATGGTCATGCTAATTATGCTACCCAGACTTCACATAAACAGCTGGTGTATACTCTTTCTGGTTGTTGTCTTAAATATGCTACATTCTAATGGAATTTCCCCATGGAATAATTTGGCTGAGCTATATATATTAAGAAAGGGATGAAAGGCTCACTCTGGAAATTTCATAGTACAAATCCCACTCAATTTGTACTTGTTTAAGTTTGTTTTCCAATTTCTATGTTTACTTGTAGGTACAATTTTTTCTTCAAAAAAGTTTATGACATGAAATTAAAGGAAATTGTAAGAATGTCAACCTTAAAATATGATTTTAAAGTACATTGCTTTCATTAGGTCAGATATCTTAACATAATTTCATATATATTATTACTGTACTTTGCAAACTGCAGCGGGCCACTGTGGTGTTCCAGATATCATTGTCAACGGGCAAGTAATTGGAGAAAATTATGGCTACAGAGACACAGTTGTATACCAGTGCAACCCTGGTTTTCGGTTGATTGGTTCTTCTGTACGTATATGTCAACAGGATCATAACTGGTCTGGTCAGCTTCCATCTTGTGTGCGTAAGTAACCATGGCAAAACATACACATTCTGTACAAGGTATGCAGTGTATTGAAAGGGTGAAGAGTAATATTTTCAAAATTACCTAAATGACTTATGAGTTTGTTTCCCATTTTCAAAAGTGATGTAGGACTTTGGGCATCGAAAATGCCTCCTGGAAAAATAACATTTATTCAAAGTCAATGTAACCTGTGCTCCTAAGGCTAGGAGTAAATGTTTCATTCATCCCAGAACAGGTTATGCCCATGTTTATCCTGTAACAAAAATATCTCATGATTGACATATATACACATTGTCCTAGGGACAGATATTGCACATAAACTGGTATAAGTGATTGGAAACCAGTTCAAATCTGTGACCCAACAGAAGTTCAGTGTTCATAAAACACTTTCAAAATGGCCAAAACATGTTTAAGATCAACCTGGATAGATGTAGTATCAGACTTAACTGATTTAGCTTAAGTCAGTTTCTTGAATTTCTGTCCCAGATTGCCTCCAGATTCAAGTCAACTCACAGTCCCCCACCATCCCAGGGTGCTTTGTACCTCCACAGCAGCCCCCCCCC